TGTATGTATGTAATGTATGTATGTATGTATGTATGTATGTATGTATGTATGTATGTATGTATGTATGTATGTATGTATGTATGTATGTATGTATGTATGTATGTATGTATGTATGTATGTATGTATGTATGTATGTATGTATGTATGTATGTATGTATGTATGTATGTATGTATGTATGTATGTATGTATGTATGTATGTATGTATGTATGTATGTAATGTAATGTATGTATGTATGTATGTATGTATGTATGTATGTATGTATGTATGTATGTATGTATGTATGTATGTATGTATGTAATGTATGTATGTATGTATGTATGTATTTATGTATGTATGTATGTATGTATGTATGTATGTGTATGTATGTATGTATGTATGTATGTATGTATGTATGTATGTATGTATGTATGTATGTATGTATGTATGTATGGATGTATGTATGTATGTATGTATGTATGTATGTATGTATGTATGTATGTATGTATGTATGTATGTATGTGTGTATGTAATGTAATATAATGTAAAATAATGTAATGTAATGTAATATGATATATAATGTATGTGTGTAAATGTATATGTAATAATATAATATAAATAAATAATGTATATAATATAATGTAATAATGTAATAATGTATGTAATGTAGTGTAATGTAGTGTATAATGTAATGTAATGTAATGTAATGTAATGTAATGTAATGTATGTATGTATATACATACACACCGCCAGTACACAATCACACATGGAACACATGTACACAAAGCACATACAACACAGGTAGGCACAGCCACAGAACCAGCACAAAAAACGACACGCCAGAAGCAAAAAGGAGTGGTGTCCCTTTGGAATTCAACAAGGGGCCCGGTTCACTCCCCCCCTCCCCCCCCAAAGCCGAGCTCAGCAGCTGAATTTCTGGCATTTTCCCTGAACCCAGGGGGTTCTTAGACATGTTTCATTCAGAAGCCCAAGCTTTAAAACACGGGGACCAAAAAAAGCTGAAATAGGAGGACCCCATTTTCCTATATATTTTTGGAGGGGGGGTGAATTTGCGCTTTTGGTGTTCCTTTCAACCAATCCGAAGAGGGTACTGTCAATAAAACAACAACCCCCGCAATTGACCACTGTAGTGGTTGGTTCTTTATGTTTGCTCATCGGAACGCCAACCGTTCCAAGCATCTCAGAAGTGCTCCTTGGAGTCTCCTTCGGCTTTCCGTTTTAGCAGGTGAGTGAGTCTTGTTTTTTTTTGGTTTTCTTTCTTTGTTTCGGACACATGAAAGGGAAGATTTATGCCTCGCGCAACGTGTCAAGAAGAAACCGCCTTACGCCTCGCGTTTTCATATGTTTCAACACACAAAATGAAACGGTGTTTATAATAAGAACGACCCAAGGTTTCTATCTGAGAAACAACCAGAACCACCTGCCACGTCTCTCCTTTGGCCTTCCTCTCACTTTTTTTACATGGCAAATCTGATGGCAAATCTGGCGATCGACGAATCGAGGAGAGCTGCTGGGGCACCCTGGGATGCTTCATCAACCACCTGAGCCGCGTGGGGGAGTGCGAGGCGACTCGCGAGCCCAAGGGCTGGATGGTGCGCGTGGGCCAGGCCGGATCGGATCGTCGATCGAGTCGATCGAAGCGGTGGGATCGAGTCGGATTCGAATGGATTTGGTTGGTTTAAAAGATGCGCGGCGCTTGGGTGCTCCAATTGCAAAGTGAACAAATACATTTAAATCGAGAAGTAAATGAAGAATTGCAAGTAAATACATACTTAAACTAAACGGACTTACCAACGCAACTCATTCATAGGTTATACCCAAGGTGGCTGACCACTTACTAACTTGGCCGAACATCCAAGTGCGTTCAACGAGAGAAGGACACTACCCCCCCCCCCAAGCGCGTTTGGGGGTTGAATGGTTTGTTGTTGGGTCGATGATTGATGCTTGGTGCTTGGATGAGGTTGGCGGTTGCTGGTTCGTGCTCTCCCCCGCTGACCCCCTCCCTATCTCTGATTGGGTCCAAAAAACTTTGATGTATGCTCATTATCTTTTGGTTGGTTGCTTTGTTGCTTCCTTGCCTTGCCCTCCGATCGTCTCCCATGGTTTCATTTGTCTGTGGCTCGAAACATGAACCAAAATGGCACCTTGGTAAATGGAACCAAAGAAGACAAACACCGGAGTAATCCCAGTTCTTGAATTTTGAGCCACACCCATTTCAAAAAAGGGCCTGAACAAGGGGCTTGGCTGCTTGATCAGTTGCAGTTGTCGTTGGGCTCGGGTATGGGTGGTGGGTTTGGGGCTTGTTGCGGGACTCGACCCAATCCAAAATGAGTGGTTTGCCCATGTTGAATGATGCAAAGAAGCCTTCGGACCCCTTGTTCCATGCAAAAAGGTCCCTCAAAGCTACTCGTTCCACAAGAAAAGGCCCTAGCAGCACCAACACCCCCCAAAAGGGCCATCTCAGTCGGTGGTTCTAGTTCTTAGTTGCTCAATCGGGTGTTTTCTGGAGCTGATCTCCCTTTTGGCTCATAGGTTAGTTGACCCAAGATTCAATATGATGGTGGCTTTTATGGTTTTGGACCCGAAGCCGCTCAAAAGCACATTGGGGGGGGTTCAAGGGACAAGGCCATTTGGCTCCAGGAAATGCTTCTGGCGGCGGAGGAGGAGAAGAATCTCCGGGAGACGCTTGAAACCTATGGGATCCGGCCGAGAGATTCCAGGTGTAGGACAATGGAATTCTACTTCCAACCAGAATTCGCTCCCCTTTTCCTTGTTTGCTCTTTTTTGGGGTTCCCTTTGTTTTCCACCTGTTCCAGGCAAAATATATATTTTTTTGCCGGGGTTCTAATTCCAGCCTAGTCTAGGGTAGCCTCCATGTTTGCTCTTTCCAGGGATCGCTCTTTCTAGAAAAACACGAACAACTTTGGGGAAACGGCTGGCTTTTGAAAAGAACGATGGCTGAAAACAATGGGGAATCAAACTCTAGAACAATAGCAATGCTCACCCGGATGAACCTTTTGAATGTAAAAGCAAAATGTGTAACTTTCCAAAACGTGATGTGGAGTCCTTCTACGGCCCACCCGATTATTCGTCAATTGGAGGTCCTTGATTCGCTCGGTCAACTGCACTTGCCCTCAGAACCCAGCAACGTGGTAAGTCGTTTGGACAACCGGTGACTTTTTGAGAAACAGTCCCCCGCTGAACGGCAACGAATTATTCTTGTTGACGCAGCGGCTTTGTAAAACCGAGTATTTGAGCACCAATCGGTAGACATATTGAGAGTTTGTCAAGCAGAAATATGTGTGTTCACACCGACAAACAAAACACATGTTTCGAGGGAACCTTCCACATCTTGAGTGAAATGTGTACTTCACCACTAGACACACAGTTGGCACCTGAAACCTCCAGTGTTTTGGGTACCATGCCCCTTACTACCCAAGAATCAGCCAACATGTTGGCGCATACTTCAGGCTAACTTTACAACAAGTTAAACGTTCTGGACCACCATTGTTTTGGGCAACCATGCTGTGTGTGTGTGTTGTCCACGAAGCGACAGCGCTACTATTTAGATGACGATTTCGGACGGCAGGGTGGCTTGGTATTAAGCAACTTTATGGCTATGTGTTGCATCGTTGGACTTGATTTGTTCGGGAAACAGTGGATTTTCCATTAGACCCACAAACAGTTAACAACTTTTTGGAGAGGGGGCAACAGCAACCAAGACAAGAAACTCTTGGTTTCAATGAATGAGACACAACATGCTTAAACACAAATACTCAAACTACACAGAAGAAGAAGAAGAAGAGGAAGAGGAAGAGGAAAAGAAGAACTTGCTGGTACTCAGTAGGGAATGACCCAGCGTTTTGGGAATGGACTCTGGGTTTCCCTTAAAGGAAGCCACAAGGCATTGCTTATAAGGGTCATTCTAGTTCTCATTCCCTTCCTAGAGAATCAGAGTTCGGGTCCCAACTAGGTCCCCCAGTAACAGGGTTCCCCTACTAAAATAGACGACAGAAAAGCAAGTTGGTACCCTTCTTCTAACCTCTGGAGTACAAGGAAAGAGCTCATCGAGACCCAGGGCAAGAAGGAGATGGACCCTGCCAGCTGTTTGCTGGCCCAAGAGGATGTGCCGGACCGGGTGTTCCGGGAGTCCGGAAGTCGAGTCGGGCCCCAAGTTCTTGAGCCTTAGGTCATCTTGCTGGTGCGATGGGTAGGGAATGAGGCACTGGACCTGGGGATTCCCCAAGGAAACCACCAGTTGGATGGTTTATTTTCGGGTCGTCTCCTCATTCCCTGCTTATCGCACCAGCAAGTGATTCTTGTTGAGAAGACCGTTTTAACAAACAGTTCAGACGTTTTCGGACCATCCGCTCGGGAAGCTAGTCGAGTGAAGTTGCTTGGGGCACTTGCTTGCTCAGAGCTAATCGGCCGGATCTTTCTGTTTGGTTGTCCTGTTTTGGGTTCCCATGGTGTTACAGGTCACAAAAGTGAACCTCGTATTTCCAGGCAATTTGGGCAATTGAGATCTGAAATGGCACTCGATCTCGGAAAATAACGTCGCCACTAGGGGTGTTTCCACTTCACCGAAAGCGGACGTTCCTCTCATAGTATTTATTATTAGTAGTACTGTTGTGAATATTGTTGTTCTAATTCATCATTATTGTTATTATCATTATTATTGTTTTCGATCGGTGAATTTGCCCAGATTCGATGTAGGATGATCATGCCTGAACAGTTGGCTTGTTCTCGTTCACCGCTTCCCTTCAGCCCTGAGGGCGCCCCTCAGGGTTGCCCAAGCTTGGGAAAAACAAAGCGGGATGTATAAATATATATATATACACAGGAGTGAGGGCTCCCAAGGTAATGAATGCTGGAAAGGGGGCCACAACTTTATGTGCCAGGACAATTGCCAGCACTCACTTGAGGTGCCACTTGATGACATCGTCATTTGACTATATCCCTCCAGGACTAAGTGTATAAAGCCTCAAGTAAACAGTCGAGTGTCGCCTTTCAACAGGATTTGTCCCTGACATGGGTGAGGGACCCTACAACCCGCAACTCAAACAAGAGCCCCCCCCCCCCCCTCCCCCCGCCCGTAAGTCCTTACAAACTTGATGTGATTCTGCCTGAAGCTAATCTTTTGTTGGTGTCTGAGCCGGGTGTTTCTGGAGTCCTTGAACTGGTAAGGAGACGCCGAATTCATGCGGATTGCCTCAAACATTCGCTGCAGTGAAGCCGGTGACATTCCTTCCCAGCATGGTTCGGCGCGACGAAGACCTGAGCTGTGTAAAGGCAATCATTCATCCGTGGGTTACGAAGGGGGCCCCTTTGTAGTGGTTTTCTACAAGGGGCTAATTATGAATTTAGGATTGAACACCTTTGCAGGATGGCAGGCCACAAAACGAGACAGCCGAATTACTTTGAACCTGCCCCAAATGCCAGCAGACTGAGGGGAAATGGGGAAACAACCCGGTGATGGTGAGATGCTTCGACTTCAGCTGCTTGGATGGTGGATGGTGGTCCCATATTGCTGCGCGAGGAAAAATCACAGTTTTAACAACACAATATACTGAACCAAAGGCTCAGACCATTTGATCTTAACCCCAATTGTTCAGTGGCACCCTTGTTTGCCCTTGTTTGGCAGCTTCACAGAGTCAAGCTGCAAAAAGGCTTCACGTTTGCTACCTGTCGAGTCACTGAACAACTATAATGTCTCAAAATACTGTGGACGGACAAAATCCTGCACCACCTAAGAAACCATCGAATGATCATTCCCCCCTGCAAGTACCAACAAACAATGGTTCTAATGTCTTCAAAGTGGTGCGAATTGGATTTCGTCCATCCACAGGGGACCCTCCAAAACGGTGGGTTTCCTTTTCGTTTCTGTGCGAGCCCAGACAAAGCTACCCCTGCAAAAGTAAGATATTTTTTGTTGTGCGTGGCCTGGGCAATCGCGTGCCAAGGTTCAAATTTCAGGGTTTCAGCTAAAACGGTGTTCAGCGGGGATTTCCCATTTAACCCAACAGGCAAAAACTTTTCGCGGATCTGAGGACAGCCCGGCGTGGGTTCCTTTTCGTTTCCCTAACAGGTCGCCCAAGCAGCCGCGCCCGACCCTGCCAGGACCTGATCGTGCCAGAGTCCAGGCACAAGCGCTTGAAGACCTCATGGACGGCCGCTGCGGCTGAAGCGCTAGGCTGCAGGTCACTTTGTGTCGTTCTCAATGGAAAACCCCGGAGTAAGCAGAACCCCTGGTTGAGTGTCATCAAAAATATATATCCCCTTTTAGTGGGGATTCAGACCACTTTTGGACGGAACGCTCCCCTAAGAATGGGACGGGTTGATTAATCCTAGGTCGACATCAGGGACCCTCAAGTCGCCCGGAGCAAATCGAACGGATCTGACCTGTTGGTGTTCACACTTGGGGTTCCCATGTGTAGTCAAGGTTCCACCAGGTTAGCCTTTCATTTGCGGGTCCTTTTGGGTAGGTGAGGACCCACAAGATGGCGATGTTCCCGTTGGTTTTCCCTTAAAACCCACCACAAAAAGGTGGGGGCTGCTGTCAACAAAAAGACCAGCCGGTTCAACATGTTGTTGTGAAGTTGCCACTTTCTGGAAACGCAATGGGTCATTGGTCAAGTCCTGGGGGTGGAAATCCCATTTTATGCTGCAGCTTTGAAGCCATGCATCGTGGTTTGGTGTACAGTCTTGGTTAGATCACACAAAATGCACAGCACTGATTTAGATGGATTTGATTCCATTTACCAGGGCCAAAAGGTCACCAATATGTTTTAGGGATCAACCTAAAGACGGCCACAACAGCAACGATTACACGGTGGCCACAGCTTCTTCCCAACGGTACCGAGTCATCAATGACCCGCAGCGCATGGATGCTCCGCATGGGGAGATTCGGAAAAAGTGTCATACGGGTGTTTCGACCACGGCCAAAACAACGGCGATGACTTTTTAACGCAGAACATCCTCACAAAGGCTTGTTGGACATATGTAGGTGTATATATATATATATATATTCCCATGTAATCGAATGATGTCCACCAAAGCGTCCCCAATTAACTTCACTCCACATACCCGTATTATGGACTGTGGGTAACATCTTGGCAGAAAGGTGTGAGACCCCGGTCGTATCGGGGGACGACCTCGGCGGAATGCAGTGTGAAAGCACCGCCTTTGGTTGCCTTTTCAAACGTGAGCCACACTCAAACTTAGAGAGATGAAGGTTGATAGGGGAGATTGTCCCAGCCATAAAATCGGTGCCTTCGCCGCCGTGCTAATTCTTTACATTGTTCTGGGTCCCCCACACCCCGTTTTTGGTTGGGAAGGTTTTCCCCTACTAAAATAGACTACAGCAAAAAAGGTACTCTTATTCTAACCTCTCTACTGGAGGACCTAGTTCTGGGTACACCATTTTGATTCCAGGTTTTGATGATGACTCGTGCGAGCTTCCTTTTGGTCAGAGTCACTGGGCGAGGGCTCTTTTTAGCATGGGGCTTTCCCAAACGGGACACTTTGGGATTCAAGCCAGAAAACAAAGCGGGCTAATAGAACCACCGTTGTTCATGGAAGGGGATTCATCATGACAAAATTTGCCGGCCTTGCCATGCTTTTACTGCGTTTGAAGGCTTGCGTCTTCCAAATCTTCTGCTCAGCTTCGCTTTGATCTGGATCCGTTACGATGTGAGGCCATGCGCGACAAGCAGGCCTGCGCCCCGGTGGTACGGAACCGCGACGAGGGCGACGAGGAGCTGCGGAGGGCCAGAGCGCTGGCGCGGAAAGCGAAGAAGCTGCAGCCGGAGGAGAAAGAGGAGGCCATGGAAATGGCCATGGTCCAGTCTCCTTATATAATTCCCTCATTTCAATTGGGGTGTTTTCCTGAAAGTGTCCCGTTGAACCACCCCAAAAGAGTGTTTTGTTGAATGAGTGTGTACCGACCACACCCAAGGGCCCCTCTGTTTGGAAGCTTGCACGGACCACGAACCGGTGGGAGCAAGAGCCTCTGTCAGGCAACATGAACCGAGAGAAAGATCGCCAGGGAAAACTGACTACAAGGAAGCCAAAGACGACGCCAAAGAGGACACCAAAAAAGGAACCTGGACAGGGAACACCAACAAGGACACCAACCACCAGGGGAAAAACAAAAAAACACAAGTTTTTCAAGTTGGACACCACACGTTGACCGAACCCGGCTGCGGGGGAGAACCGTTGAAGCCCCGTGAAACCGGTATGAGTAACCTTCGGGCATCTCGCGGGGGAGTTCATGTCCACCAACTCGTTGGGAGGTTCTCTTAACATGAAAAGGCCATAGGTAAACGATGTAAAATAATAATAATAAAAAAACGAAGAAGTCACAGATTGCCCTGAAATCCATTGTCAGAGGAAAGCAATTGTAAGGCGTCAATGGTAAAGCATAGAGAAATCATAAGCCCTTATTGTCATCTTCAACAGTGTCTAGCTGTCTAGCAGGTAGCCATGAAACCTCTCAAACATCGCCTTTTCTTGGGTAATTTAATTGGTGGTTCAAAACACTTCCTCGGTTGCAGAGTTATTGGGGAATGGTTTTGGCTAGAGTCCTTCAATATCAACTTTTGATTGGGAAAAAACAACAGAGTTTAAGAGGAATCTAATCTGCAGTTTTGTTTTTTGCTTTTTTTGTTTCTTTGGCCTTGGGGGCAAAATGGGGGGGGGGGGGGGGGGGCAAAAAGGGGGGGGGGGTAGCAAGCCACTCACCAGAGCGTGCGGAGCGTGCGGAGGCACCGCCGGAACCTACGGTGCGAACGGAGAAGGTATCTTTCAAGATGATGGGCAGCATCTCGGTTGAGAACCACCGACATGTTCGTCTGTATAATTTGGGGCAATATGTCATCATGTGCATACACACAAAACCATGATTCAATCAAACATGCAGATATTACGATATATATATATATATGTACATTCATTCATTCATTTGTTTGTTTGTTTGTTTGTTTGTTTGTTTGTTTGTTCATTATTTCATTAGTTCATTGTTTCATGAACTATTTCATGTGTTCATTCTTTCATTACTTTAGAGCCTCCGGCTCAGTCCGCCGACATTGTCCTCTCCCTTTTCTCCTTCTTCCTCTCTTCCTTGTCTCCCTTGTGTGTTCTGTCGTCCTCTCTCCCTCCCTCTGCTCCCATCCTCCCCATCCCCCCAAGCCTCTCTCTCCCCACTCTCCCTCTCTCGTATGTATGCATGCATGCATGCATGCATGCATGCATGCATGTATGTATGTATGTATGTATGTATGTATGTATGTATGTATGTATGTATGTATGTATGTATGTATGTATGTATGTATGTATGTATGTATGTATGTATGTATGTATGTATGTATGTATGTATGTATGTATGTATGTATGTATGTATGTATGTATGTATGTATGTATGTATGTATGTATGTATGTATGTATGTATGTATGTATGTATGTATGTATGTATGTATGTATGTATGTATGTATGTATGTATGTATGTATGTATGTATGTATGTATGTATGTATGTATGTAATGTATGTATGTATGTATGTATGTATGTATGTATGTATGTATGTATGTATGTATGTATGTATGTATGTATGTATGTATGTATGTATGTATGTATGTATGTAATGTATGTATGTATGTATGTATGTATGTATGTATGTATGTATGTATGTATGTAATGTAATGTAATGTAATGTAATGTAATGTAATGTAATGTATGTATGTATGTATGTATGTATGTATGTATGTAATGTATGTATGTAATGTATGTATGTATGTATGTATGTATGTATGTATGTATGTATGTATGTATGTATGTATGTATGTATGTATGTATGTATGTATGTATGTATGTATGTATGTATGTATGTATGTATGTATGTATGTATGTATGTATGTATGTATGTATGTATGTATGTATGTATGTATGTATGTATGTATGTATGTATGTATGTATGTATGTATGTATGTATGTATGTATGTATG